CAAAGGAGGTTCATGTGCAGATCTCTTCTGTTGCAATGACACCCTCTGCTGTGTCCTACTGTCATAACGCCTTAGTATTTCTTTGCCTCCTTTTACTTTAAAGACAGCAGCACTCGAGCTGTTTGGACTCCAGCAGTATGTTCACACATGATCAGCCATGTTCTTCCAGCAGGATGTGAACATGTTCCAAAGAGCTTCACAATATCTCACATCAATGACATACGATACCAAAAGCACAGCCTACATTTATCCAGATGTTCAGCCTGGTTCTTCTCCCAGCTCCACCACCACCACAGTCCAGACTCCATCTGGTCTAATCATCAAGGACTGCTGACATATTTCCTCATAATTATTGCTGAAGCACAGTCTGAAGCTGCTGTAAAACTTTTAACCTGTTTAAGTTATTTCTTCCACAAATGTTTCAGAATGGGCTGCAAGGTGGCGCAGTTGGTTAGTACTGTTGCCTCGCAGCAAGAAGGTCGCCAGTTCACTTCCTGGTGGGGGCACCGGGATCTTTCTGCGTGGAGTTTGCATGTTCTCCCCGTGCAGCGTGGGTTCTCTCTGGGTTCTCCGACTTCCTCCCACAAGTCCAAAAACATGTTGAGGTTAATTGGTAATTCTAAATTGTCTTTGTGAGTGTGCTTGGTTGTCTGTCTCTAAGTGTGACCCTGCGATAGACTGGCGACCTGTCCAGGGTGTCCCCTGTCTTCGCCCTAAGTCGGCTAAGATAGACTCCAGCCCCCCTGCGACCCTAGTGAGGATTAAGCGGTGTATTGATAATGGATAGATGGATGTTTCAGGATGATGACTTCTCACCTGTGTGAGTTCTCATGTGGACTTTCAAATTTCCTCCTTGACTGAAACTTTTTCCACAGGTTTCACAAGAGTACGGCTTCTCACCTGTGTGAGTTCTCATGTGGACTTTCAAATCACCTCCTTGACTGAAACTTTTTCCACAGGTTTCACAAGAGTACGGCTTTTCACCTGTGTGCGTTTCCATGTGGACTTTCAAACCACCTCCTTGACTGAAACTTTTTCCGCAGATTTTACAAGAGTATGGCTTCTCACCTGTATGAGTTCTCATGTGGACTGTCACATATCCTCCTCGACTGAAACTTTTTCCACAGGTTTTACAAGAGTACGGCTTCTCACCTGTGTGAGTTCTCATGTGGACTTTCAA